ATGCAAGCCAAGGAGAGAGGCCTCACAAGAAGCCAAACCTCCTAATATTTTTATCTTGGACTTCTAGTTTCCACAACTGTGAGAAAAATTAACTTCTGTTGTTTAAAACACCCGGGCTATAGTATTTTGTTATGGCAGCCCTAGCAAACTAATACACATATACTCAACTATTTCAGAAGAATTGACTCCCACCTTTTTCCTATTCCAGTTCCTATTTAATTCTCTAATTAGTAATAGAGAAGTGATTAAGAGCATAATCTTATAAGTTAGCCTGAATTTGAAGACTAGGTTATCCACTTAAGTGACTTTGGGTCAATTTCTCAAACGTTTCTCAGTCTCAAATTTCCTTACTGATAAAATGAAACCACAGCTGTCTTATACAATTATAATAAGGATCAAATTAAAAGAGATGTTTGTAAGTTTCACCATATAGCCAGGCACATAGGAGCTAAATAACTGGTAGAACTTGTTATATTTTATTTATATGTGTTTTGTCAATTTGGCTTAATTTTCTCCAAGCCTAATCAGTTTAGCAAATCTGTGTGTAAAGTACTTTCTACATTTATTTGATTTTTTTTTAAAGATGTGAAAAAGCAGCTTCTATTAGTTTCATTATTGGCTTGAGTCCAACGTCACAATCTCTTAAAGTGAGTTATAATATATTTTTTACATATATCCTAAAATAAAATCTTCCCAATGTTATAGGTTTGTTTGAATGATTTATATGATTTTGCTCTAAGAACCAAACTTAGACTGTTTCTTTCCTGCAATTCTTCATACTTGTAATTTTAGGAAAACATCATGGCTTATCAGAAACTCCTCTCCATGAGGTATTCTCCTACTTTGCAGTAAAATGATCAAAGCTCTCTTTTATTGCTAGGTGACCCAATTCTAAAGTTTCCTACATTATTTATAAGGTATATTCATGGCCTGGTCTCATTCCCTATACCAGATGGTTTACATCTTACTTCTCTTTAATTTATTAAGAATGAAATTTGTTTCCATAAATATTTCATTATTGCCTCTCTCATCTAGCAAGATTTTTAGGCTATAATTTACATGGTGCACTCTGTTTCTTGTTCATTTCTATCCTTTGCTTACAATTTGTGAATTGGCATCACAGTATCCTTTGTCCACAGGTTCTCTCTATGAGATTGTAATTATGTTAAGATTTTTACTTACTGGACACTTACTATGCATAGGGTACTCTGCTATCTATGGTGGAGGGACAAAGACATTTAAAATAGTCCTGCCCCAGCTGGTTTGGCTCAGTGGATAGAGTTCGGCCTGCGGACTGAAGGCCCTCAAGTTTGATTCTGGTCAGGGGCACCTGCCCAAGTTGCAGGCTTGATCCCCAGTATGGGGCGTGCAGGAGGCAGCCTATCAATGATCACTCTCATCATTGATACTTCTATCTCTCTCCCCTTCTTCCTTCCTCTCTGAAATCAATAAAAATATACTAAATAAATAAATAAATCTCAAAGAGTACACAGGGTCAGCCTTCTAATCATATTTTACTTTTTAGGCTTCTTGTATTTGTTTGTAAATACTTTTATATTCTGACTTGTTTTCCCTTTTATTCCTATTTTCCCATCTGGAAGGGTATCCACTGTCACCTCTTTTCTAACTCAAGTAGGCCAATGAACTCCCGTCAGAGTCCTCAAGCAGAATCTTTGTCACTTCCTACTGGGGATGTGCTGGCAACCAAGGTACATGCACCTGACTGGAACCAATCTGGGACCTTTCAGCCCTCAGGCCGATGCTCTATCCACTGAGTCAAACTGGTCAGGGCTAAGGGGTTTTCTTGAAAGAGTTACATCTCACTTTGCTGAATCAGGATATTGCCTTCTTTCATCCTCATATCAAAAGGCCAAACCACCACTTGGTATAGGCTTATTTTCATTTACTTGAAAATGAAGGAGCTACCAACAGACTTTCTGGTGACGGGAAGGAAGATATCTAAATCCATTATTTTAGACAACAATGCGTGTTTCTCGAAGAGTTAGAACAACACCACCACCCCAACCATTTAAAGGAAAGCCAGATGTAAATAAGAGGACAGCAAATTCTGTAGCCTTAATAGGCACCCATGATTGGAGGTGAAATGGGCCAGGAAAAAGGAAAAAAAAAGTAAAAAGACAAAGGTACATATTGTTAGGAATCTAATAAAATATTTGGAACCCTCCCAAAATCTAGTTAACATCAGATGTGGCATTTGTTTCCACCCCTCCCAAACAGGATAGCATCTCATAAATCTTTTAGTAATAATCATTAATGAACTAACTGTTCAAAATCCTTTAAGTGCCAATTATGTGTGAAACATGTTGCTAGCTGCTTAACAACATAGGAGAGAAATAACATTATATGCCTGCCTTTAAGAGTTTTACTATCTAGCTGCGGCCATGGAGACTACCAGGCAGTATTGGGATTTTTTGGGAGATTTCAAAGAGACATTAAGTACTGAAAAATTCAAAATGAGTGGGTAAGAATTGAGGATTTGAAAAAATTGGGCTTTATTCCATCCTTGCCATTTCTTTGCTAACCACCACTTGGTATAGGCGTATTTTACCTTGCTATGTTACCTTGAGCAACTCCTTTCTCTTTTCCTCTTTACCCCCTCTCACCTCCACCCCCTGGAATGCCTGGGTGTCTGTGTCACACACCCCCCCCCCCCAACACACACACACACACACAAAGCAAGAGGTCATTCTGTTACAGGCAGTTAGAAAGACATGAGCAGAGCAAGCACAATGGGCCAGGTATAGAAGGTCACCAGGATGGAAAGCACTGGGTGCCTACTAAGGGGATAAACTAAGAAAACAGGACCTTACCCCCAGGGTAACCTCTCTTCCCTACCATATTGCTGGTCCTGGAGTTTAGACCCCCTGACCTTTTACTCCCTAAAGATAACATCTAGGCCTCAGGTGTATTTTAGCTCCAGGCCCAGAAAAGCAGCCAGTCAGACAAGTGATGCCATGGCTGCCTCACGACCAGCTGCAATTACTGACCCCCTGCCCTGGTGAGGTTCAATTGGTGGAGATTGTGACCTTGAAAGAACACGCCTAGAAAGCTGCTGAATATTCACTGACGCCCTCCCCTAAGACCACCCCTAAGATTCCCACCAGCAAGAGTGCCGGGAGCCGGTCCATCCTTGCTGTTTCAAGGGACCTGGCATATATGGCATACTGTTCTTAATATATTTGCTCACCTTCTTGGCGCTATGTGTTTTAACCAAGGTCACCTCTCTGAGAAAGGTTGTTTCCCTAGGTAGGGATTTTCCTCTGAAGTTAGGGAGGGAATAAAACCTCTTAACTGCCAGGCGGGTAATTAATCACTTTAACTATG